GTTTCTCATTTGCAAAATAATTTTAAAAGACAATCTTTATTTGCAAATGATTCCCGTGCACGAGATAAAGGTCCACAAAAATAAATGGATCTCTTTCATTGCACAAATTGCAATCGGAAGGGTCATTTGAGTAAATATTGCTTTGACCGTGTTAGTGCACCATATATGCCCAAGAGGGTTCATAACCCTAGGGCTTTAAGCTTAAAAGATAGGGGTCATGTCCCTAAATCTCTTGGTACCAAGAATTCTTGGGTACCAAAACAAATTTAATTTTTAAAAACCAAGTATTTTAGTGTTTTTCTTTTTCCTTTTCTTGGTTTTGAATATGTTTTAAGATCTTTTGGTTATGAAAACAATTTTTCTTTTATCAAATCTTTTGTTTTTATGATTATTAGTTTTGATTTTGATGAGAGGTTTGTGTTTATATAACCATCCGGGTTTATTGGGTGTTTATTCCCAAATCATGTTTACCAGATGCTAGAATAATTATATGGGTTGGAACAAGCTTAAGAGCTTGATATATTGTTGCCTCTCTTGAAATTCTTTTATCAAAGATTTGGTTTGAATTATTGCTTTGAATTCATTATATTTCACTTATATGATAATATTTATGTGTTTGTGCTTATGGATCATCTATTCGTGCCTTATAATGTATTCCATATGTGGTTTGATCAAATCCCACAAAGAAAATTATCTTGATTGATCAAACATCATTTTTGGATTTAAACATTGATTTATGATTTCTTTTGGTTGATTTGATTTTATTTGAAAACTTTTTGCATGATTCTCATGTTCTTCTTCTTTTGTTTTCATAAATCTATTCTTTTATATGGTTTTTATATTTTTTTGTGTTAATGAGACACTATTTTCATATTGACATATTTATATGTGTTCTCATTGTCTTTTTGTATGTGAGTTGTGTTTAGCATGTTTCTTGCTTGCTCACATATGTATGCCTTAGCATTCATTGCATATATTCATTAAGGTATTTTAATAGAGGGAGTCTTCCCTTTTCTATTATTGTTTTTATACTCACTCATGCATATTGATAGGGGGAGCTTTCGCTCTCTTCATTCTTTTGTTTTCCCCATTTTGATGTTGTCAAAGGGGGAGAAATATTGTGAGTATATTCATTCTTATTTATATGCATGATATATTATACCTTGTATATTCATTTCTTTTCATGCATATATATCTCTTTGTGTAAATTATTTGTCATCATCAAAAAGGGGGAGATTATTGACCTTCTTGTTTTGATGATGTTTAACAAACAATTTACTTCTAATGTTATTTGTCTAGTGTTTGTGTTTTCGTATTTATTCTAGGCAAACAACGAGTTGGAGGATGGATGGAATTACGCATTCACGGTCATATCCAATGGAGGTTGGCGGAATTGTGGAGTGAAGCCATACAATTCAAGTTGAAGATCCAAGTTCAATCTTCATCCGCAAGATTACCAAGAAGAGCTTATTGAAGATCAAGATCTAGCTTGGGTAACTTAGTTTAGGTTGGATTTTGGTTTATCCACAAACAAAGTTTTTACTAGCATATAAATAAATATTTATATTCATACATGTTGGCTTTTACGTGGATAAATTAGTTTGGTTTAATTTCATAGATATGAAACAAATATATATTCATATTCATACCCATATGTTTCATATTCTATTGTCTTTGTGAAAATACTATATTCATTGTTTATAGACTTTATAACAATAGTTTACATCTTCTATTAAGTCTACAAATTCATTTTGTATTGTTTCAAAACATGGTTTAGCCAAAATGTCAATATTCATATGTTTACATTTTTATGTTTTGGACTATTTTGTAAAATGATGATATTTTTTATTTAGGAGGTTCTTTTCTAAAAACCAGTTTTTGTAGCATGTGTATTATCATGTATACAATCATTTCCCAAAGTTTTATATTTTTCTGAATTTGTTTGATATTTTTAAACAGGGTTTTAATTTCAGAAATCTGCATTTCAGCTGTGTGTCAGTTTGCGGTCGACCGCCACAATCGACCGCCTTGAGTTCAGAAACTCAATAAGATCTTTTGTGGCTCCCTCATGGTCGACCGTCAGCTCGAAAATTCCCACGGTCGACCGTCTAACTTTTTGGAAATTTCTCAGGCTAGAAAGTGGCTTACGATCGACTGCGAAAATTTCACGGTCGATCGCCGTTCACCCCAACAATCATTTTGGTACAGAATTAGATTTTTGATTCTTGGACCTTTTGGTCTTTTCCTTTGGGGTTTTGGCTGAGATTTTGGGAGGCTATATATACCCCCTTGCTCTCATCTTTTATGGAAAACAATGAGAATGTTTTAAAACAAGTTTAACAAGGGTTTTAAAGTTTGTTTTGTGTGTTTTAAAAGAGTTTGGTTTGTGAAGACTGTTTCACAAGTGGAGGAGATCATCTACATTGTTTGGGCTTCATCTTAATCCATCTCTCCATCTTGTTTTTTCAGAGAAGAATTTCTAAATTCATATCTAGCTTTACATTTGCATATTTGTTTTGATTACCATTCTTTAAAGCTAGTTTTTATATTGAGTTTAGATTTGATAACTTATTGTTACACACACCCACATTGAGCTTATTGTATTCATACATAGTATATTTGGGTTAGTGAGTGTTGTAACTTTGAGTGTGAGCTTACATTTCGTTCTCATCTATTGTAGAGAACAAACTCTTTGTATTGTGCTTATTGTGAGATTCACTTTGTAATACACTTATACACCGAGAGAAGTGTGTGGCGATAGTCGGGGATCGTCCTAAGAGGAATGGCGTCGGTTGACAAACCTAGCGAGAGGTTGTATCTGAGCACTTGAGGGAGACACGTCTAGTTCCAACACTTGAGAGGCTGTAGAGTGGTATTGCAAGAGTGTTGATTGTAGGGTTTTTGGTAAACTAGAAAACCATAGTGTGAGGTGTAAACGTTGTTCGGGTAAACGTAAAAAATCCGGTTGTGATAGTGGAGATCTCCTCGAGGTGAGGAGCGGAGACGTAGGTCGTGGGGACTGAACTCCGTAATCATATCGTTTGTTTGTGATTGCATTGGCGTACTAATTTTTATGTTCATATCTTATATCGCCTTTGTATATTACTTGTTGATTATATTACCCACTATCTAGTTTAGATTGTTTACCCTTGTGTTAATTATATATCCTTGCATATATCTCACAGTATATCTCTTTGCTAGGATATTTACCTTTGTTCATATTGCTTATTCTTGCTTGTAACATATTGTATATCTCTCTTACAAGAATAATTTGTTAATTAGTTTTAATTGGCATAAAATCGGATTAGATTAACATAAGACCCTAATCACCCCCTCTAGGGTCTAACACTAATGTTCATAACTTAACTGTAACATTCACAATTATACAGTAGACTCACTTCTTTTTGGTTGTCAACTGTCTCTCTTCCACATCGCTCATATTCATTCCTTTCTTTAGGTCCATGAGCGCTCTCTAGGCGGCATAGGTGTTGTCCTCAAAATATGTGCATTAGACTAGGTTTGTGGGTTGAACTGAACTTGTGGGAAGAGGATGACTAGCCACGATGTCATCTAGAACATAGGCAATTAATGTGCCAGCTTCATTCAACTGTGCTGAAGGTCTTCTTGACGACGTACTGTGATGCGTTGTCATCGCTGATGAAATTTGCAGGGGCTGCACAAGTGACTTCTTTGGAAACTGACTTGTCGACTATGATAAAGATCATTGTGTAGGATGGCAAGATTACAAGAGAAAATATTGGATTTCCGCTCTGCGGTGGGTTAATTTAGGGTTAGGGTTATGATTTTGGGGATACTCGGTTCGTTTGGACATATGATAGAAGATTACACGTTCGACAAGGAGAGGTGTTTTGAGTAGTGGGAGGCGGTTAAATCAAAGGGCATTTTGAAAATTATTTTTGTTAAACCGGGTCTTTTGGGAACTAGGTTTGAGGGCTAAAGGCACTTGCATTTTGGCGATGGGGGTTTTAAAAAGTCACAAG